GTCGTTCGCCGCGAAGTTAAAGAAAGTTAGGACAGCTTGGAAAGGCCCTGAAATCCGCACAGCCGGAGGTCATCTCGTAACGCCTGCAGGAATCTGCACAGTGAGAGTCACCATTAACGGCCGTATTTATCCTACAGACTTCGTAGTCCTACAGCGTTGCTCGAGAGCTGTCATCCTTGGCATGGACTTCTTATGCCTCCATGGTGCTGTCATCAACCTAAAAACAAAGTCGATAACGTTATCCACAGAAGAAGCACTACCGCCGCGCACGCTGTCAGGACGCCATGCCTTGAATGTGCTGGAAGAACAAGTCACCATTTCGCCTCGCTCAAGCGTCATTATTTCAGTCGGCGCTCCTAAATCATCTGACTTGGAAGGCGTCGTTGAAGGCAGTCAGCATCTGTTGGTCACCCGAAATATTTGCGTCGCAAGAGGAATTGCAAAGCTGCGGAGAGGCAAAGCAACGGTTATGCTCACGAATTTCAGCAATGAGTACAAACATGTCAACAAAGGAACAACGGTCGCATACATCGGAGAAATTGTCGAAGCCACGAGTGCTTTCGCCCTCGCCGATTCTGCGGAACCTGCTCAGAGGAACCAAGCCCCTCCCATAGCTTTCGACGTCAATTCCAGACTTCCCAACGATAAGCAAGAACAGCTCAAGGCCCTGCTCCTGCAATACGAAGATTGTTTTTCGTCGTCATCGAAAATTCGGAAGACCACAATCACGAAACATCGCATCATAACCGAAGAAAATGCCAGACCGCTCCGTCAGAGACCGTACAGGGCTTCGACGCGAGAACGTGAGGCCATGAAGAGACAAGTTGATGAAATGCTGCGGGATGACATTATCCAGCCGTCCAAGAGTCCATGGGCATCCCCCGTGGTGTTAGTGAAGAAAAAGGATGGGACCCTACGTTTCTGCGTCGATTATCGCCGCCTGATCAAAATCACAAGAAAGGACGTGTATCCTCTCCCACGAATAGACGACGCACTTGATCGGCTCCATAACGCCAAGTACTTTTCGTCAATGAACCTCAAGACTGGCTATTGGCTAATCGAAGTCGACGAAAGAGACCGAGAGAAGACAGCGTTTATAACACCGGACGGCCTCTTCGAGTTTAAGGTGATGTCCTTCGGCCTTTGCTCAGCGCCTGCAACTTTTCAACGCGTTGTGGATACAGTACTGGCAGGATTGAAGTGGCAGACTTGCCTTGTGTACTTGGACACGTCTTCGTGTTTTCCTCGAGTTTCGACGAGCATCTTCGGCGCCTTGAAGCTGTACTTCAAGCCATCAAGACGTCCGGACTCACACTGAAGCCAGAAAAGTGAAGATTTGCGTATGAGGAGCTCTTGATTCTGGGGCACGTTATCAGCTAGTCTGGAGTTCGTCCCGATCCACGGAAAGCAGCCGCCATCGCCGACTTCCCGCCGCCCACTGACAAGAAAGCCTTGCGGCGATTTCTGGGCCTGTGCGCCTATTATAGGCAGTTCGTGAAAAACTTCGCCCGCATCGCCGATCCTCTCACTAACCTTACCAAGGCCGACGTGGAGTTCAAGTGGGAAACGCCACAGGAACACGTTTTTCAGGAGCTTAAACATCGCCTCCAGACGCCTTCGTTACTTGCCCATTTCGACGAATTCGCCGAGACAGAAATACATACTGACGCAAGCAGCGTAGGTCTTGGCGCTGTTCTTGTGCAGAGGGCTGACGGATTTGAAAGGGTTATTAGTTACGCCAGCCGATCGCTATCCAAAGCAGAAGCAAATTATTCCACAACAGAAAAGGAGTGCCTCGCCATCATCTGGGCTACGTCGAAATTTCGCCCCTACCTGTACGGCAGGCCTTTCAAAGTTGTGAGCGACCACCACGCCTTGTGTTGGCTAGCCACCTTGAAGGACCCTTCAGGTCGCCTCGCACGACGGAGCCTGAGACTTCAAGAATATGACATTACTGTCATTTACAAGTCCGGCAAAAAACACTCCGATGCCGACTGTCTCTCTCGTGCACCTGTCGACCAACCGCTACCCGACGACCCGGATGACGACTACTTCTTGGGAACGATAACTACAGACGACTTCGCTGAACGACCGCGGGCCGACCCGGAACTTAAGGCCCTAATAGAATACCTCGAAGGCAGGACCGCCGAAGTCCCGAAGGTATTCAAGCGCGCACTTGCGTCGTTCTTTCTACGAAACGGTCTTCTACAAAAAAAAATTTTCACCGCTTCGAGCTAAGTACCTCCTTGTGGTGCCTTCAGCTCTGCGACCAGAACTCCTACAGGCCCTGCACGACGATCCGACGGCAGGGCACCTCGGTGTTTCTCGCACGCTCGCGAGGATTCAAGAAAGGTACTACTGGCCACGTCTTACCACCGACGTCATTCGTTATGTGAGAACATGCCGGGACTGTCAGCGACGCAAGACACCACCGACAAGGCCAGCGGGACTTCTGCAGCCAATTGATCCACCTTGCCGACCTTTCCAGCAGATTCGTATGGACCTACTGGGGCCGTTCCCGACGTCGGCTTTCGGAAACAAGTGGATCGTGGTAGCTACCGACTACCTCACCCGCTACGCCGAGACAAAAGCCCTGCCAAAAGGCAGTGCATCCAAGGTAGCTAAGTTCTTCGTCGAAAATATCGTCCTACGTCACGGCGCCCCGGAGGTCCTTATCACCGACAGAGGAACGGCATTCACTGCCGACTTAACTCAAGCGATCTTGACATACAGCCAAACAAACCACCGCCGGACGACAGCGTACCACCCAAAGACCAACGGCCTCACCGAGCGGCTTAACAAGACGATCGGCCGACATGCTGTCAATGTACGTCGATGTCGAACACAAGACGTGGGACGCCATTCTTCCGTATGTGACCTTCGCATACAACACGGCGGTGCAGGAGACGACGCAGATATCTTCATACAAATTGGTCTACGGAAGGAGCCCGGCAACGATGCTCGATGCCATGTTACCCAACGTCACCGACGAAGAAAACCTCGATGTGAGCGAGTACCTTCGACGCGCCGAAGAAGCCCGACAACTTGCGCGTCTCCGTATCAAGAATCAACAGACGACCGACAGCCACCGTTACAACCTTCGACGACGCTTCGTGGAATACCAGCCCGGTGAATGTGTTTGGGTGTGGACGCCGATTACGCCGACGTGGACTAAGTGAAAAGCTTCTGCGACGGTACTTCGGACCGTACAAGGTGGTTCGACGTCTCGGCCCACTTGATTACGAGGTTGTCCCCGACAGCATCACGAACTCTCAACGACGCCGATCGCGACCTGAAGTCGTCCATGTCGCGCGCCTCAAGCCGTTTCATGCGCGTTAACAAACTGAAACAATGTTTTTTTGTATTAATGTTGTATTGTAATTTATTCATTCTACTTTCTTGCATTATTATTGTGCCTTCATTTTTGGTTAAAGCATCGGGACGATGCCTTTTTTCAAAGGGGGGCAATGCCATGTTCCATTTCCCAAGTTTTTGTTATCGTCCTAAAACACCACACGATTCTCAGCGCAAACCGCGCCTGCCGTTTTCGAGAAGGTTCCGGACTGTAGTAGATCATTTCGATGAGATCACGCCCACTGTGCGAACGGTACAGATTGTTCTGGAACCTACGCCACCAACAGCGATAACGCTAGAACATTCGACGGCAAGGGTATAAATGCCGACGCACTTCGCCGCTTGTCAGTTGTTGATCGAAGGCCGACGCTCCGTTCGCCGCTATCAGTCCGAGACTGCTGTCTGTGCAAGACTGCTGCTGTAATTAGACTTTCCGTTTACCGGGCACAGGTTCGCCAAAATAAACAGTTAAATCCCAACACGAAGTTTCCTGTCTTCGGCCACGTCACGACCCCGTGACAATGTTTCAATTTCGTGTACTGCGTAATAGCTGTAATCGTAATCAGCAAGCAAGATGAAATTAGCTGCAGATCGTTCGCTGCCGCCCTATACGTGCTTCAGCAACTATTTGTGAATACACTTATGAGCCCGTGAGAATTGTAGCTACACCGAAAGCTACAAGAAGGATTCGTTTCCAAACTCAGTGGCGTTTCTATATATTCAGATAAGACCTCCTTCCTAAGAAACATTGATCGCACAACAGAAGCAAGAGAAAAAGAGGACTGCTGCCCGTTCTAGAAGAACTGGTGGGCAGCAGAAATATCTTGATAGGGCGCATACAAAGAGAGATAGAGAATGTTGTGTATTCGCGGTTTCTGTGTGTGTGTGTGCGCGCACCTGTTGACGCCTCAGCTGGCCGCCTGCACCACATCGGACTTTTGCTACTACCACGTGCGCATCGTTATCTGGCTAACACTACGCTGCCTATAAATACGTTATACACTTTTGAATAAACGTTCTTTTCATTCTGCTGACTACGATGAGACATTGCTGGTCCGGCGCTGCTATGCGCACACCATGGCTATGCTACAGTGGCGACGAGGATGTTCACCACCCATGCAGTGAAAGACGACCCTGAACCTGACACTACGAAAAATCGAGCAACCAAGGCGATCATGGCTCACCACCAGCTTCCGGACTTCGAAGAGAGCAAAGATAAGTGAACGCCATACCTTATCAAAGTCGAAGCATACTTTGAAGCGAATGCCACTGAAGACTCGACTAAGAAAAGAGCATTGCTGGTTGCTGCCTTAAGCACGCACACGATACAAGTGCTTGCAGGGAAGGTGGCTCCACGCAAGCCGAATGCGCTGACTTATGAAGAAGTCGTGGCAGTGTTGAGTGAGCACTACGACCCCAAGCGACACGAAATCACAGAAAGTTACAGGTTTTTCAGTCGGTGTCAAGCGGAGGGTGAGCCCATTAATGAATTCCTGGTCGACATTCGCCGAATAGCTGATAATTGCAATTTTGGCAGTGCATTAAATCGAATGCTACGAGATCGCATTGTGTGTGGTGTCCGGTCAAGTGCACTACAGAAGCAGCTACTTGCGAAGCGGGAATTAACATTAGAAGACGCTGAAGCGATGGTCCTTTCAGCTGAAGCTGCAGATAGTGGCGTGAAAAACATGAACGGATCTGGTATGACACCAGTGTTAAAAGTACAAGCGTATCAGCAGAAAACACCGCAAGACGAGAGACGGAGGGCTACACGTCAAGAATGCTCAAGGTGCGGCAGTGCAAAGCACAATGAGAGCGGTTGCACCTGGTCTAATGCTCACTGTTATCGCTGTGGAGGATGCGGTCACCTTGCGAGGAAATGCCGAAGCCGCGGTCCTCACGAGCAAGGAACAGCAAGCAGGGCACAAACCAACATTCTCACGGGGACGGAAGGTTCGACAGACGACGAACACGAAGCAGCGCACATCTGGGCTTTGGCCTCGGAACGGAAGAGTTGTCCGGTGCCACCGATTCGCCGAACGTTCTCTTGGTGTGGTGTGCAGCTTACAATGGAAGTTGATACTGGGTCGCCCGTTTGTGTTATCCCACGTCAACTGTACGAGAAGCACCGCGACCAATGGCCGAAACTGAGACCATCCAGTGTGAAATTATCCTGCTACACAGGACGACTGCCAGTGCTTGGGGAGCTTGCGCTCAGTGTTTCTCATAAGGGAGTGACGGCGGAGTGTGCGCTGACCGTGTTAGACTGTGCGGGACCAAGCCTCTGTGGTCGAGATTTAATTCAGCTGCTGAACGCCGCTGGTGCTCCGGTGGTTTGCGTTGCAGGAGACTATGAGCCCACCGAACAAACGGGCAAGTCCAGTGTGAATAGCATATTCAACGACTTCAACAACGTGTTTTCCGAGGAACTGGGGCTCATCACAGGCCCTCCGGTCAGTCTGCACCTAAAAGAAGGCGCTGTACCTAAGTTCTGTAAGTCCAGACCCATTCTATATGCGCTACGCGACCGCGTGTCACTTGAACTTGATCGGTTAGTGTCCTTAGGCGTGTTATCACCGGTGGCGCACTCGGAATGGGCGTCACCTATAGTCGTAGTTCTTAAGAAAGACGGCGCAGTGAGAATCTGCGGTGATTTCAAGGCCACAGTGAATCCCGCATGCGCCACTGAACAATATCCCTTGCCTATCATTGAAGATATGTTTGCTCAACTACACGACGGGGATTGTTTCAGCACACTGGATTTACGGGACGCATACAATCAAGTGGCACTGGATGAGTCGGCAAAGAAAATTTGCGTCATTAACACACCAAAAGGGCTTTTTTGCTACAACCGACTGCCTTTCGGAATAGCCTCTGCAACCGCGATATTCCAAAGAAAAATGGATGAGGTTCTAGCTGGTCTGGTGGGTGCACAAGCTTACCTTGACGACGTGCTCATTTCTGAAAAATCAAGCGACAGTGGTGAAAGGCTGAAAAACGTTTTGGAGCGGTTTCGAGAGAGAGGCGTAAAGTTGAGACACGATAAGTGCAAGCTGCGCAGCCCAGCAGTTACCTATCTCAGGCATCGCATCGATCGCGATGGGCTTCATCCGACAGAGAAAAACCTCGATGCTATCATGCAGGCGCCGAGCTCCCGTAATGTCAGCGAACTGTGGTCTTTTTTGGGGATGATCACGTTCTACGCGAGGTTTCTGCCTAACATGTCGACCACACTTTTTCCTTTGTATCAGCTGCTGAAAAAGAATGCGCGCTGGCACTGGGAACAGCCTCAAGAGCTTGCGTTCAAGGTTGCTAAGCAAAGCCTCAAAGCAGCCAAGGTTTTCGTCCATTTCGACCCTTCGAAGGAACTAAAACTTGAGTGCGACGCGTCGCCATACGGAGTGGGCGCGGTCTTGTTTCACACGATAGGAAACGTCCACAGGCCGATCGGCTTTCGCTCGCGTACGTTAACACAGGCAGAGCGCAACTATTCACAGCTCGAGCGAGAGGCACTGGCACTGGTATTTGGCGTAACTAAATTCCGCGACTACCTTCTAGGTCGGGAATTTACCTTGGTGACTGACCACAAACCGTTGCTAGGCTTGTTGAGGTCAGACAGGCAGACGCCCACAATGTCCGCTGCCCGGATCCAACGTTGGGCGCTTCAGCTGGGGGCCTACCGGTACCAGCTGCAGTACGCCCCAGGGCGACAGATGCTGAACTATGATGCCTTAAGCCGCCTGCCGCTGCAAACTACGGAAACTGACGCAGACGGTGAGCCACCCGAATATGTACTCTCGCTAAACCAGCTGAACAACGGTGTCGTGACAACGCGTGAGCTGAAGGCTTTCACCGCTTTGGATTGTGTCCTGGCAGAAGTCAAACGGTACATATTACATGGGTGGCCCAGACACGCCAACGGGCTGGCAAGGGACATACTGCCATTTTTTGACCGTAAGCTAGAGCTATCCGTTGCACATGACCTTGTTTATTGGGGCAATAGGGTCATAATGCCAGCCGAAGCAAGAGTGCAAGTGCTACAGCTTTTACATGAGACTCACCAGGGTTCGCCAGCAATGAAATCTGTCGCGCGCTCTTTGTTTTGGTGGCCAGGCCTAGACAGAAATATTGAAGAGGTGTCTACTCAGTGCCAGAACTGTGTTTGAAATTTGCCAATGCCAACCGCGGCGCCCGTTGTCAAGTGGCCGGAAACCGGCGAAAGGTGGCCCCGCATTCACATAGACTACGCGGGGCCGATCGGCGAAAAAATGATACTCGTCATAGTTGACGCCCACACGAAATGGCTCGAAGCCGTACCTCTGTCACATGCTTTAACGGAAACCACCATTAACTGCTTACGTGCCATTTTCAGCAGGTTTGGGGTACCACGCACAATCGTGTCCGACAACGGGACTCAGTTTTCCAGCCATGATTTTGAGGAATTCGTAGCAAACAACAAGATAGTGCACCTCCGATGTGCACCCTACCACCCCCAGTCTAATGATGCAGCGGAAAAGGCAGTGCGTACTCTAAAAGATGGCCTTCGAAAAATGAGGAGAGGAAAGCCAGAGGAAAATCTGATACGCTTGCTGTTCAACTATCGGAGGACGCCACAAAAGTGCGGTAAATCCTCAGCAGAGTTGCTCTTGGGTTACCAAATACGCTCACGGCTGGACACATGTTTTCCTCCAGCCCTTACAGGATCAAAAGAAGACCAAGAGGACTGGCTGCCGCTACCAGGAAGTGAACGTATACACCCGCAATTATGGTGGCGGTGGAGCAAATGGACGGCCTGGAAATGTGAAGGCGACGTCCTGAGCGAGAAATGGTGACCGTTGAACACTCCGGACGGGGTCGTCCAGCGGCATGTTGATCACTCGACCCACCGACAGACTCGCCAGTGCCTAATTCGCCGCTCACGAGTTAGAGCGACCATTACCGCCCACCTAATTATGAAGGAGCGTTCTTTCTTTCGCGCAGAACTTTGTAATGAAAGTACGGACAAGTTACACCGCAGTTTCTTCGGCTTGCTTTGAAAATGCGTGTTTCAACGCTCTTTGTGGGAGGCCTGGAAAGCCTCTAAATAGAACTAAACCTTTAATTAGTTATGAAGCATATGCGAGTGTTTCAACGTGAGTCAGTGCGTGACAAAAATTTACTTGGTGCACAGCAAGCACGAGTAAACTCGTCACCTGAAGGAGCAAAGCAATGGGGGGGTGTGTGTGGAGGGGGGCGCTTTCATTGTGAATGAACGTGCTTAAAAAAACCCTTAGTTCTTTCCTCATGTGTAAGATAACACACAAGACACACTCTAGTTAACCTTCTTGCCTTTCTTGTACTCTTCCTCTCTCTCTCTGTGTCTCTCTGCGTTTTTTTTTTGTTAAAAAATGTAGCTATCCTGCAGAATAGTGCTTATGGGTTTTCCTAAGCGCACATCTACATTTGGGGTGAAAAAGTGAGCACGACATGACCTAGCAAGATAGGAATGTTTGAACGACATAAGGATAATTAGAGGAATGTCATAAACGGTGCAAGTCAAAAACGTTTTAGGAGTGTAACATGAGTCGATTTAAAAAAAATACATACAGACAATTATGGATCTCTTTTCTCCCTTGGTATTATTACAAAACTCTTCTACATCTCTTCCGCATTCAAGTGACCGATGTGTCGGCCATGTAACGGCCAGTACGAGACACCGCAATCTGTGACTCGTAGCTTTCATCACGTCGGATATTTTATTCTGGTTTACCCTAAGAGTGTACGTGTTTGCTTTAGTGGCATCATTGGGGAGTACGTGCACATCGTCAGCACTTTCATAAATTATTAATATTTAGGCATCGTTTCCAATAGAATACGATACTGGAGCCCGTTGTATATTTCAATTTCGTGTACTGCGTAATAACTCTAATTGTAGTCAGCAAGTAAGGTGAAATTAGCTGCCACTCGTTCGCCGCCACCCTATACGTGCTTCAGCAACTATTGGTGAATACGTGCTTCAGCAACTATTGGTGAATACCAGGCTTGTGTGAACGCCTCTGACATGCGGTAGATTTCTACACGCTGCAGTGAAATTACTGTCAGTCTCTCCCCCACCCCCTTTTTTCCCTCTCTTCCCTCTTTCTCGTCTTTCTTGTCCCCTTCCTTTATCCCCCAGTGTAGGGTAGCCAACCGGATGTCTTTCTGGTTAACCTCCCTGCCTTCTCCCTTTTTGTTGCTTCCTATATATATATTGGTGAATACACTTTTGAGCCTGTGAGCATTGTAGCTACACCGAAAGCTACAATAAGGGTTCGTTTCCAAACTCTGTGGCGTTTCTATATATTCAGATAAGACCTCCTTCCTAACAAACATTGATCGCACAACAAAAGCGAGAGAGAAAAAGGACTGCTGCCCATTCTAGAAGAACTGGTGGGCTACAATACACGGGGTAAAAAAATATAGAATATCTTGATAGGGGCGCATACAAAGAGAGATAGAGAAAAACAGAGAAAGTAAGGAATTAGTGGTTTAAAGCCCTGAGCAAGGCGGAAATTGTTTGAAGAGTATGGTATAACTGTGAGCATGAACGGTTTTTACACACAAGAGATGAACAAAACCTCCAAATTTTAAGAGGTGGTGAAAATTCATGTTTCGACAATAACGTAATTACCGCTATGTGCGAAAATTCTTGAGAACGCACGACGAAAACACATATTACTGACGGTAATGTTTTTCCTCCTATTTGAAAAGTCATTGATTATCACGCCCACAAGTTCTTAGTCTATTTCAGTTCGTGAGTTTGTGCTTGATTCGTTTCCTGTTTTCGCTGCAAAGCTCTATACCTACGCAAAAATATTCAAAAAAGGTTTGAGACAATCAAACTTCAGAGGACACACAAGATGAAACGCAGCATCGCTTTCGCGTTGCTCCAGCTGCCTGTCCGACATGCTCATAGTACGCGGGCCAATACTAGCCCAAGGACAGGGCGTGGAGCCTTCAGAAGAACAAAGATGGTGTCCCTCATCGGCTACTCTATGCAGGCGGCACATAACTCATGACCTGAAATCGGTGGGGATTTGCTGTGAAGCTTGATGGCTGATCGCTGGGATTGGCTCAGAGCAAAGTGGTGAGGGCTTCGTACTTGACAAATGAAGCTTCTCGAAGATAATTGCCCGCGGTAACTGCGATGACTACATCTCTTTTACCTCAGTTTATTGCTGTAGGCTGACGATAATAAGTTTATTTTGACAAATTATTTGTACGATGACTCTTTATAATATGAAAACGCTACTGGGGTCAAGAAAGTCCATTGTCATCATTCCGAGCAGACAAATCAAAATTAGTCACAATGTTCTTGAGAAACGTTGAAAGAGCTGCTCGAAATTAACAAAACAAACTTTTGTGTTAATCTTTCATTTACGCTCATTGTGAAGCGGATACTCTACTCAGTTACGAGAGAAAAGGTGTTGGTATGCATATTTTTTGATGCACTGTTTTATTTTTTATGAAAATTTTGTGAAAAAATAAGTAGTAGGATAGCTCCTGCAAGCCGCACAGTGAACAAATGCTGCTACGTATGTACACACGTTCAGGTTTAGTATTGCAAATAGGCACTAATTTGCTACCAGCACTCCTATATCTGTATCATTCTTGGATTTCAATTCGAGTATTTCAGCACGATTTTCTTTGTATAAACTAATTTGACCTTTCTGTTCGAGCGTGGGAACCCAAGACGTACTAATGCGCTTCCTTGCCGGCCATCGAATATATATTTTTTTCTTTTTTTTCTATTGCAGTCCACTCTAATTGAACATATTTCCACTTCTTTTGTAGGGTAGCAAACTATATTGCTATCCTGATTCACTGCCTTACTATTTTTGTTGCTGTACGTTTCTTTTTACGACGATGAAGCAAAATTTTTTCTGTCTGATTCATTGCTTAGCTTGCATACCGAACACCTTTTTTTCTTCTTTCCGAATACTTACTTCTTCAATATTTTCGAACACTGATTTCCACATAGGGAGTTTTTTTTTTATCGTAATCAACATTCCTCCAGTAATTATCACTGGGAGGTATTCACTTTTGAAACGAATTGTGCGTGTAGAGCAATTGTTCCCATGGTTACTCCTAAATTACCTTTTGGCTGCTAACTTTCCAGACTTCTAATCCCGCAGATTGAAGTGGTTTGTCGGAATTTAGAGTTCACCTGTATCGACCTCAACCTCATTTCTATATGAAACGATGGGCGCAGTCATTACATGAACATTTGGCGGAGCAGCACGACTTTTCAAAGTTTAAAAAGCGGGTGGATTGAATTAAGGCTCAATTGAAGCCATTCGGGCGCAAGACAATTAGAAGACAAGTAAGAAATCCTAGCGACTGTGCCGTGTGGCCGTAAATGGCTGCCAAAAGTATAGTAAGTCATTGTTTCGGCTGTACCTTCTTTTTCTAGCTCTTCCACCGAACTCTCGAACCTTTCCTTACTCTAGGAATAGAGATGTAGCTGCGGTAAAGACCAAGACACCAAGAGCAGTTGAAGTAATCACTTCACGTCGGATTGAATTGGACGTAAAAAGTACGGTGAAAAACAAAGCATTAAGACACGTCTAATCGCAGTTTCCGTTTCTACCACTTGTCAGTCGTGTCACGGCTTTCTTTTGCACATGGTATATATTCGAGAAACTTGATTGGCAGAGGCTAATCAATCATATTACGAGCTCCTCCGACTATGGGCAGCACAGAAAGTGCCATTGATATCAAGGGGAAGTGAAATGGGCAAAAGGGGCGAGATTGGGTTGAGTAAAACAAGATATGAATGTGAAGAGCTTTGTGAAGCTGTCATCTCATTCGTTTTTGAAAACTTTCATCTTTCTTTGTGCTCCCATGTTGCTATGTCACATCAAAATGTCTGGCAACGAGAAGTGGTTTATCGAACGTATCATGGTGTTAAAGCGTCTGCTTCTTAACACGAGAAATACATGAGTGGAAAGTCGTGTTCGGGTTATGGGCAAATGGAAGCATTAGCTGGAAACCCCTTGACATGTTCCATGGCAGGACAGGAGAGGAGAATTTTTTATAAGAATAAACTTATGCATTTTTTCTATTTTTTTACCTTTGTGGAATTCCACAAGAAAATAAGAGCTACCGCAGCGCGGATATAAACAATAAGGCCAGAAAAAATGCATCA